TTCCAGTTGAGCTATTTCAAATCCTGAAAGATGATATCGTGAAAGTGCTACACTCAATATGCCATCAAATTTGGAAAACTCAGCAGTGGCCACAGGACTGGAAAATGTCAGTTTTCATTCTAGTCCCAAAGAAAGGCAATCCCAGAGAATGCTCAAACTACCACACAATTGCACTCATCTCACATACTAGTAAAGTGATGCTCAAGATTCTCCAAGCCAGGCTTCATCAATACGTGAACAGTGCACTTCCAGATGTTCAAGCATGTTTTAGAAAAGGCAGAGGAACCAGAGATCAAATTGCCAACATCTACTGGATCATCAAGAAAGCAAGAGAGTTCCAGAAAAACTTCTATTTCTGCTTTATTGACTATGCCAAAGCCTTTGACTGTGTGGATCACAATAAACTGTGGAAAATTCTGAAAGAGATGGGAATACCAGACCACCTGACCCACCTCTTGAGAAACCTATATGAAGGTCAGGAAGCAACAGTGAAAACTGGACATGGACCAACAGACTGGTTCCAAATAGGAAAAGGAGTACATCAAAGCTGTATATTGTCACCCTGCTTATTTAACTTATATGCAGAGTACATCATGAGAAACGCTGGGCTGGAGGAAGCACAAGCTGGAATCAAGACTGCCGGGAGAAATATCAATAACCTCAGATATGCAGATGACACCACCCTTATGGAAGAGAGTGAAGAAGAACTAAAGAACCTCTTGACAAAAGTGAAAGAGGAGAGTGAAAAAGTTGGCTTAAAGCTCAACATTCAGAAAACTAAGACTATGGCATCCGGTCCCATCACTTCTTGGCAAATAGATGGGGAAACAGTGGAAGCAGTGTCAGACTTTATTTTTTGGGGCTCCAAAATCACTGCAGATGGTGACTGCAGCCATGAAATTAAAAGACGCTTACTCCTTGGAAGGAAAGTTATGACCAACCTAGACAGCATATTAAAAAGCTGAGACATTACTTTGTCAACAAAGGTCTGTCTAGTCAGTCAAGGCTATGGTTTTTCCAGTGGTCATGTATGGATGTGAGAGTTGGACTATAAAGAAAGCTGAGTGCCAAAGAATTGATGGTTTTGAACTGTGGTGTTGGAGAAGACTCTTGAGAGTCCCTTGGACTGCAAGGAGATCCAACAAGTCCATCCTAATGGAGATCAGTCCTGAGTGTTCATTGGAAGGACTGATGTTGAAGCTGAAACTCCAGTACTTTGGCCACCTGATGCGAAGAGTTGACTCATTTGAAAAAACCCTGATAAGGAGTCAGAATAGCTCAGTTAGGAGAGCATTAGAATGAAAAGACCCTGACGCTGGAAAAGACTGAGGACAGGAGGAGAAGGGGACGACAGAGGATAAGATGGTTGCATGGCATCACCGACTCAATGGACATGGGTTTGGGTGGACTCCGGGAGTTGGTGATGGACAGGGAGGACTGGCATGCTGCATTTCATGGGGTTGCAGAGTCGGACATGACTGAGCAACTGAACTGGACTGAATCTCATTAGAAAGCCTTTAAGTACTAGGAAGCTAACAAGATCACAATCATGGACATAAACTTTCTAAAATTCTAAGTTCTGCATGAAAGCTTTTTTTTCCTTAAATGACTGGCAATAATTAATGTCAGTTGTTTGCCTTGAAGCAGTTAACAGGCTTTGTTCACATTTAAGAAAATGTCTGCCAAATGCCTAACTCTAAATAACTAGTTTGTCAGTAATCTTTCAAGAAAAAGTGTTCCATAAGAAAAGCAGCTAGTTTAGGTTTCAACTCAAACACCTGTACAAGTGTTTTTCCTTAAAGTAACCAGAGTACTTCAGTATGTGGAAGTGCCTTATGTACATATTCTATTTCATCAAAAAGAATAGTTTAAAAATGTGGGTCAAGATTAAATGAAATGAATTTTTATTGCTTTGCCAAGAACATTAATAAGTAAAATTGGCTTTTTTTGTTTTTAAACTGCAAGTGTGTATCAGTGAAGAATTCAACAAGTAGCAGCAGTTTGGTGCCACTATCCTGATTTAATTAAGATGGCAGTAGTTTGACCAATCATTGCTTCTCAATTATCAGCCCAAATGTCAACACTGTGAAAAAGGCAAATAACTTATTAGTATTATTATGAAAATGGTTCTGTTCTTACGACCCACTGAAAGGGTATTAGGGAGTCGCAGACCACACTTTGAGAAACACACTTTAAATCAATACTACTCCTAAGAAAATAGTTCTCCAAAAACCTTTTCAAAGTTATAATAAAATCTACTAACGAAAGTTCAGACTGACTTACCAACTGTATAAAGTCATTCATACCCCCTACCCTCATCAAACCAGAGGTAAAAGAAAGTGATGTTTCAGATGGAAACTCTTTTGCCTCAAACAGTAAAACAGCATAGAACCCATTTGCTGTTGTCTTCCCCACGCAAAGATCCTGCCTTTATTCCTTGCAATAAAGGAAAGAGAAAGCTTCCAAGGGCATTCATTATTCCTGAGCTCTGTTACATTTATATGAAGAAAAAAAAAGCAGAAAGCACATATTATTCTTCAATATTCAGATCTTATAGTGCTCTTTCTCCCATCTTTATTTCTGAATCTTACTCTCATCTTTATTTCTGACTCTGGACATCTTTACTTCTTTCTACAGTAAACTCCAAAGCTGCCAGGTTAAAGATCAATCTTAAAACTCTCAACTAACTTGCTTTTTCAAATCAAAAGACATGGTTTATGTAATTTTCTTCATCTTTTTCTTACAACTTATTTCTTCTTTTAGCCTGCCTACAAAACTTCTTATAGATTTATGTTTTGGCATTGCTATTCTCAATGTACACATATACATGTATACATGTGTACCTATGTACACATATGTACATATTTGTATGTAAATATATGTTTCTATGACTCTGTCTACCCAACCAAATCATAACTTCCTCTTCTGGGTTTTGGGGTTGTTGTTTTTTTTTTAAGTTTTTTTGGCCACACTACATGGCAGGCAAAATTTTAGTTTCTCAACCAGTGATGGAACCTGTGCCTCTAACAGTGGGAAGTGCAGAGTCTTAACCACTGGACTGGCAGCGAAGTTCCTTATATTCTGCAGTTTTAATATACCTCTTAATGCCTAAAATATCTGGCTCACAAAAGGTAAGTAAGTGCTTGTTAAAATAAAATTATAGGCAATGTTGAGCATCTTTTCATGTATTTGTTGGCCATCTGTATGTCTTCTTTGGAGAAATGTCTGTTTAGGTTTTTCGCTCATTTTTGATTGTGTTATTTGTTTTTCTGGTACTGAGCTGCATGAGCTATAGTATATTTTGGAGACTAATCCTTTGTCAGCTATCTTGTTTACAATTATTTTCTCTCATTCTAAGGGTTGTCTTTGTTTGTTTCCTTTGTTGTGTAAAAGCTTTTAAGTTTAATTAAATCCCATTTGTATATTTCCATTTTGCTTTTGTTTTTACATTACTCCAGGAGGTGGCTCAAAGAGGCTCTTGCTATGATATATGTCAAAGACTGTACTGCTGATGTTTTCCTCTAAGAGCTTTCTAGTAATGCAAATCAAAACTATAATGAGGTATCACGGCACACTGGTCAGAATGGTTATCATTAAAAAATCTACAAACAATAAATGCTGGAGAAGATGCAAAGAAAAGGGCACCCTTGTGCACTGCAGTTGGGAATGTAGACTGATTCAGCCACTATGGAGAACAGTACAGATTCCTTAGAAGAACTAGGAATAGAACTACCATGTGACCCAGCAATCCTACTACTGAATATACACCCCGAGAAAACCGTAATTGAAAGAGACACATGTTCCCCAATGTTCAGAGTGAATTAAGTCAGAAAGAGAAAGACAAGATATTGTATATTAACGCATGCATATGGAATCTAGATGTTACTGATGAACCTATTTGCAGGGCAGCAATGGAGACACAGACATACGGAACAGACTTGTAGACACAGTAGAAGAGGGTAGGACGAATTGAGAGTAGCATGGAAACATACATATCACCATATGTAAAATAGATAGCTGGTGGGAATTTGCTGTGTGACACAGGGAGCTCAACCCAGGGCTCCGTAACTACCTATAGGGATGGGATGGGGTAGGAGATAGAGAGGTTCAAGAGAAAGGAGATGTATGTATACCTGTGGCTGATTTATGATATATGGCAGAAACCAGTACAATACTGTAAAGCAATTATCCCCCTCACCCCAAATTTTTAAAGAATAACAGAATCTGCCTTCCAATGCAGGGGACAAAAGTTCTGTCCTTAGTTGGGGAACTAAGATCCCACATGCCTCAGGGCAACTAAGACCTGATGCAGCCAAGTAAATAAATATTTTTTTAATAAAATACAATAAAACTATAAATTTTCTTTAAATCTGATTAAATGTTCTATTTCCTACCATCTTCTTTATGCACCTCAGATTGATATCATAATTTTTTTGCATGGAATAGAGATTATTTTTTCCATTTTTCAATACCGGAATAACACTTCTAAAAATTAAATAAGAGTTCCCTGGTAGTTCAGTGGCTAAGACTCTCCACTCCCAATGCAGGGGACCCAGGTTCAATCCCTGGTCAGGGAACTAGATCCCACATGTGCCAACTAAGACCTGGTACAGCCAAATAAATAAATACATTAAAAAAAAAAAAAGAGTGAAGATATAGTGTATCAAGACAGTAAGGACATGGCAGTCAAGTGGGTATTAAAAAAAAAAATCAGAGTCTTTTATCTAATGATAGATTTGTTTCCATTATAAGGCAGCAATTCCTTTTGCTTATTTTCCTCTTTTTGGCCTTCTGAAATAGTTATCGACTTTTTAATCTCATTCACTCCTCAGAAGAGGCAACTGTGCAACTTGCCTCAGTGGAGTACGGAATTACAAGATAAGAACTGACTGTGCTTGAAATAATAATCTGAGTAAGTCTTTACATCTTTTGATAGCTTTGTTAAAATCCTGAAGACAACAATAAAGGCAAATAAAGCTAGGAAAAAAAGGTAAACTTACCACCAAACAAAGGTTCTGGTTCCACCAGTATTTCTTGCTTTTGAGGAATTGGGGCACGAACTTCCTCTCTATAAAATAAATATAAGAAGAAAGAAATAAGTGGGAAAATATCCAAATGAAAACTGTTTTCTGCTACCTATTCTCACTGTAATTATTATGAATACATTTCAAATTAACAAGTAAAATGAACAACAGACTTAGTGGCTTTAAGGAACCACATTAAATTATGACAAGTGACTGTTGGGTGATTTCCAAATAGAGATCAACTGGGACAAGGTACCTGGCACAGATAGAGCAAATGGGCTTAAGGAAAGAGAACAAACATAAAAATAAAAAATACTGTGCCTCTCCTCTTAAGTCACCTCCTCTAAATTCTTAAGGAAAAAAAAAGATAGGAAATTTATACAGACACAAAAAAAATTCAGGAATTAATGGAAAAATATGAGCTTAAGCAATACTACATCACCACTACATCAAATACAGAATTGAAACACAGATATATTAATATAAGTTTAAACAGGCAGTTAATTTTATGCTAGTTATGGCAAGAACTAAAGAAGTAGGTCCTGTTTTGTTGTTTGGTCACTAAGTCATGTCCAACTCTTTTGTGACCCCATGGACTGTAGCCTGCCAGGTTCCTCCATCCATGAGATTTCCTGGCAAGAATACTGGAGTGGGTTGTCATTTTCTTCTCCAGGGGATCTTCCTGACGCAGGGATCAAACTGCATGTCCTGTGTTAGCAGGCGATTCTTTACCACTGAGTCACCAGGGAAGTCCAACCTAAGCAGTACTCTTGGATTCTTCATTAAAGAGACACTAATAACAGGAAAAAACTCATCTTTTAAAAGCCTATAAATTCTTCAGAGTTTACCTCCAGAGGGTTTACTAATAATCCGTCTCTTCTAGTGAACAATACTCATTTAGATATGCTATAAAAATGATACATCTCTTTATATATCATTTACTTATTTTAGCTTTAACTCAAATACAAAACTGCTGATTAATGTTCATAGCATGTAGTAGGTTCCAAATTTAATATGCTGCTCTTAAAATAAATGTTAATTTAACTTAGGCCAATGTTTTTCATTCAGGTGTTTCTAACAGTAATAACTGAGCTTAAGGCTCTGTTTTTGACACCTAAAAGTTGAAACATCAAAATATGCTTTATTTAATAAAGTATCAATACTCATTTGTCAACAAAAACATACTGTAAATAAAGAACTAGTCAGACAAAGAAAACTATAAGCCAAATGAGTGAAGCATAAATGATAACTCAGTATTACACTAAGAACTCTTTCTTAGTGGATTTCAGTCACTGCTCACAAACAGAATTGCAATACTCTGAAGAAATAGACACGTGTCTCTAAGAAGAAGCTCTATTAAATCTCTTTCACCAAAGAAAAACAGGCCATTATCTTAAGAAAAAGATATCTTAACAGACAACTTTCACCTGAATAGATCTTTCCATTATTGGTATATTTCACTTTACATTTTATGTGAATGTGTGTGCATGTACAGAATTATCTCAATCTAAGGCTTCCCTGCTAGCTCAGCTGGTGAATCTGCCTGCAATGCAGGAGACCCCGGTGTGATTCCTGGGTCGGGAAGATCCGTTGGAGAAGGGATAGGCGCTACCCACTCCAGTATTCTTGGGCATCCCTGGTGGCTAGGCTGGTAAAGAATCCGCTTGCAATGCAGGAGACCTGGGTTTGATCCCTGGATTGGAAGATACCCGGAAAAGGAAAACAGCTATCCACTCCAGTATTCTGACCTGGAGAATTCCGTGGACTGCACAGTCCACGAGGTCACAAACAGTTGGACAAAACTGAGCAACTTTCACACAGAAGGCAATTTAATTACTCAAGAAACAAGTCTTAAATCTGATGAAATACACCAATTAAGGTCATGGCTAATTAGTAGTCCTCATACAGAGAGACATTATTTTATGTCATCTATTCCAAGACTGCTGGCTACCTAATGAAATGGAAGAATGGAACAGAAGGTGAACTGTATAGAAAGAAAACCTGTTTAGAAAGTAGGCTATGGTGTTAGTCACTCAGTTGTGTCCGACTCTTTGCGACCCCATGGACCACACCAGGCTCATCTGTTCAGGGGATTCTCCAGGCAAGAATACTGGAGTAGACTGCTATTCCCTTCTCCAGAGGATCTTTCCCACCCAGGGATCAAACCTGGGTCTCCTGCACTGCAGGCAGATTCTTTACCATTTGAGCCACTGACACTGGCTTAGGAAGTAGGTGCCACTATCAAAGATTAATCAATTACTAATACAAATAATCTAAGTCAAATTAGAATGTAATTCAGTAGGAAAAGACATTCATTAATCAAAGTATTTTTAAGTACAATTAAGAAAACATGTTTTAAACGGTGAAGACTGATATGTCCCCCCCAAGTCAGCTATGAATACCTGTTATAAACTAAATCATATTTTCATATTGAGTTATGTTGGTGGAGACTGGATTACTGAACTTGAAATAAAGCCAATACAGATAGGAAAAAACTTTGTAAGATACAAATAACAACCTTTAAAGTTCATAGTTTGTGGGGAATCTAGAATCTGGAACTAAACTAAAAAAAAAAAAAAAAAGCAATATGTCCTGGATTGTTTCTGTGGCTTTTTATATCTAATTTAGTAAATATAAAATCCGCACCTTTGGCCTATTCTATTTAAGGTGCTCCCTCTTGTTTAATATCTCATGTTGTAAACATTAAAGAGTTATAAAGGGCTATCTGTATTAAAATCTTATTTAAGGATCTTTGAAATTTTGACTCAAAAATCAATGTTTTTCATTTGAGGATCATTCACCTCTAATATTTTCCAAAGACTACTGGAATTTTGCCTAATAGATATTCACTTTAAACTCTCACTGGTATCAAATGTAAAGGGTGGAAAACATCAATGTACTTATCATTTGTTACTATTCTTCATATATTACAGTTCTATATGCTGAAGGTGCTTCTAAAGATTAGATACTTATAGTTATCTAAGGTATAAAGAATTAGAATTTTTTTCAAAACTTTTTCATGACAACTCAAAACTTTCCTGGGTCAATGTAGGAAAATCTAAAAATGGGAAATCTGATCTTTACTGGGCTCTACTTGCATATCTGCTACTTAACTACTGCATAGCTTGGGGAAATAGCTATTCTTCAGCTTCCTCTGTAAAACGTGGATAATACCCACCTATAGGATTCTTCTGAGAATTAAATAATAGACTTGACAGTGCTCTAGAGAACTTAAAGCACATAGTATAAAAATTGTCACTTGACAGTTCAGATGCTTTCAACTTTTTATTTGTTCAAAATAGAGAATTAACCTAATTGACAAAAATGTAACTGCTCAATGTTGGCAGCAGGTAGCTCCTAATAATAAATATTAAATTCATACTCTGTGTGTGGTCTGACAGTGGAGACACTTGCTGAACTGGTACTGGGCTCTTCAGCGATTCCTCCACCATCCAAAAACATAGTGACTGCCATCTCCAGATTATTGTTGCAGGCTTCAAGCATATGTTTCCCTACACTTTCACTTGCACCTGAAATAGTATAAAAACAAGAAAAAAGTTAAACAAAGACATTTTCTTACATTTAATTCACATCAGAAGACAGAATGCCCAAGGAAATTAATAGTACTTTTCCCTCTTTAGAATGAATGATTTTTTAAATTATTTTTAAATTGAAGGATAATTGCCCTACAGAATTTTATTGTTTTCTGTCAAACCTCAACATGAATCAGCCATAGGTATACATATGTCCCTGCCCTCTTGAACCTCCCTCCCATCTCCCTTCCCATCCCACCCCTCTAGGTTGATACAGAGACTCTGAGTTCCCCGAGACATATAGCAAATTCCCATTGGCTACCTATTTTACATATGGTAATGTAAGTTTCCATGTTACTCTCACCCTAAATCTCACCCTCTCCTCCCCTTTTCCGTGTCCTTAAGTCTATTCTCTATGTCTGTTTCTCCACTGCTGCCCTGCAAATAAAGTCTTTGGTACCATCTTTCTAGATTTCACGTATATGCATTAGTATATGATAGTCACCTTTCTCTTTCTTACTTCACTCTGTATAACAGGCTCTAGGTTCATCTACCTCATTAGAACTGACTCAAACAAGTTCCTTTTTATGGCTGAGTAATATTCCATTGTGTGTATGTACAACTTCTGTATCTATTTATCTGTCAATGGACATCTAGGTTGCTCCCATGTTCTAGCTACTATAAACTGTGCTGCAATGAACATTGATGTGTCTTTTTCAATTTTGGTTTCCTCAGCATATATACCTAGGAATGGTATTGCTGGGGCATATGGTGGCTTTATTCCTGGTTTTTTAAGGAATCTCCATACCATCTCCCATAGTGGCTGTATCACTGTATTCCCACCAACTGTATTCCCACCAACAGTGCAAGAGGGTTCCCTTTGCTCCACAGCCTCTCCAGCATGTACTGCTTCTAGACCTTTTGATGATGGTCATTCTGACCGGGAGAATGACCATTATGGCAGAAAGCGAAGAAGAACTAGAGCCTCTTGATGAAAGTAAAAGAGGGGAGTGAAAAAGTTGGCTTAAAGCTCAACATTCAGAAAACTAAGATCATGGCATCCTATCCGATCACTTCATAGCAAATAGATGGGGAAACAATGGAAACAGTGAGAGACTTTTATTTTCTTGGGCTCCAAAAGCACTACAGATGGTGATTGCAGCCATGAAATTAAGATGCTTGCTCCTTGGAAGAAAAGCTATGACCAACCTAGACAGCATATTAAAAAGCAAAGACATTACTTTGCCAACAAAGGTCCGTCTAGACAAAGCTATGGTTTTTCCAGTAGTCATGTATAGATGTGAGAGTAGGACCATAAAGAAAGCTGAGCGCCAAAGAATTGATGCTTTTGAACCATGGTGTTGGAGAAGACTCTAGAGAGTCCCTTGGACTGCAAGGAGATCCAACCAGTCCATCCTAAAGGAAGTCAGTCCTGAATACTCACTGGAAGGACTGATGCTGAAGCTGAAACTCCAATACTTTGGCCCCCTATGCGAAAAACTGACTCATTGGAAAAGACTCTGATGCTGAGAAAGCCTGAAGGCAGGAGGAGAAGGAGACAACAGAGGATGATATGGTAGAATGGCATCACTGACTCAATGGACATTGAGTTTGAGCAAGCTCCAAGAGTTGGTGATGGACAGGGAAGCCTGGCATGCTGTAGTCCATGGGGTCACAAATCGGACACGACTAACCGACTAATTCTGACCGGTGAGAGGTGATATCTCATTGTAGTTTTGATTTGGACTTTTCTAATAATGAGCGATATTGAGCATCTTTTCATGTGTTTGTTATTCTGAAAGTTGTCTTTAAACCTTGCTTATAGTTTCCTTTGTTGTGCAAAATCTTTTAAGTTTAATCAGGTTCCACTTGTTTACTTTTATTTCCATTTTTCTAGGAGATGAGTCATAGAGGATCTTGCTTTCTTTTTTTTTAAATAATTATTTAATTCTACACTGTTGCCTGATTAGTGTGAAATATATAAAACTAGAAAAGAAAGCAGCATTAAAATAGTAGTCTTCCTTCATAATAAAACAAAAACTAAATAAAGCATTTATTTGCCATTTCTTTAAATAAACCAACTATATATTCAATATTTGTTAATAAACTGAAAAATAAAATGAAACACTATATCCTAGAAAGTTAGAACTACTTCATTAGAAAGAATGCAGTTCAGTTAGCAATTTCTATTTCTATCAGGAAGGAAGCATTTTCGTAATAATGGGAGAGAAGAGAAATGCTACATTTTTTGTCAAAGATATAATCAAATCAAAATCTGCTATGAAATGTCACTCTTCATCATTTAAAACTGGTCCTATCACACAGTTACTCATTTATTTGTACAATAAAGCAAACATAATCTGTTTGATGCAATGTAAACTGGTAAAGCCCTTTAAGAAATCAATTTTTAAAAAATATTTATTTATTTGGCTGCACTGGGTCTGAGCTGTGTGACATGAAATCTTCGATCTTTGTTGTGGCATGCAGAATCTTTAGTTGAAGTATATGAACTCTTAATTGCAGCATTTGGGATCTAGTTCCCTGACCAGGGATCGAACCTGGGCCCCCTACATTGGGAGCACAGAGTCTTAGCCAGTGGGCCACCAGGGAAGTCCTAAGAAATCAATTTTATAAGATGTTATCAGGAAACATAAAAATACCCTTTACAATTTTTGACCCAGTAATTTGGACTTGTAGTCTAAATAAACCTACATAAGTCTAAATAATCTATATAAATCTAGTCTAAATAAATCTATATAAAATACATGCATAACCCTGTCTATATACATGTCCAATATAACTTCAGTTAATACCGAAAAACTGGACAACATAAATGGCTAACAGCAGTAGAATCTAAATTGTAAATCTATTTGGTGGGACATTCTGTGAGCATTACAAAGCATCTCAGGTCACAAGGAACTATATTCAATATCCTATAATAAACCACAATGGAAAAGAAAAAAAAAAAGCACCTCAGACTTTCCATTTGAGATGATTTTCTTTCTACCTGAATTTTGTCCCTTAGAGTCTCCTCCAGCCAAGACTGATAACGCCTTTTATTTTGCCATTGTTCCTGAAAGACAGTTTCAGTGGATATTCTATTTTAAGGCTGACAGTTATTTTCTCCCAGTACACTGAAGATAGCATTCCGGTGTCTTCTGGCTTCTGCTACTGCTTGTGGGAAGTAGGCTGCCAGACTAAAGAAAAACATTTTTCTAGCAATCTGTTGTTTCTCTCTAGTTACTTTTAAGATCTTCTCTGTCTTTGGTCTTCAGCAGTTTCACTCTGATTTGCTGACTTTATTTATCCTTCTTAGGATTCACTGGACTTCAACCAAAGACTTATCTTTTACCAATTCTGACAAATTCTCAGACATTTTCTTTTAAGGGTCTTAGTTGAGGCATGCATCAACATTCTGTTGCAGTGTCCCCTGCCTTGGAAGACGGATTTCTTAACTACTGGACCAGGGAAGTCCCTGCCAATTTGTCTTTCACCTGTTCACGAGCTTTTGTGTTGTGCTATGACCAGCTGCATCTGACTCTTTGCAACCCCATGGACTGTAGCCCGCCAGGCTCCTCTGTCCATGGGATTTTTCAAGCAAGAATATTGGAGTGGGTTGCAATTTCCTTCTCCAGGGGATCTTCCTGACCCAGGGATCAATCTTGCGTCTCATGCATTGCAGGCAGATTCTTTACCATAGTGCCACCTGGGAAGCCCTCATGAACTTTTAGTTTTAATTTTTTATAACTAGAAGTTCTGGGTTTTTTCTAATCTGCTTGGTCATGTTTCAGAGAACCTTACTTCATACTCTTACTTCGATCTTTTTCATTTATTCTAATATATAATCAAACCTACAGGAATTACAAAGACAAAAGATAAACTATCTGCAGTCTCTAGTGGTCACTGTCTCTTGTTTCTGCTGGCTCTTGCCCACTGTGCCATGGTTTCTTGTGCATTTTGTGATTTTTCTGACTGTGATTTCAAGTGGCTCAGAATTTTAATCTATAGATTTATGAAGATCTGTAGATTTATAAAGCCTGGGTTGAAGGTACACTCCTTCTCAGAGAAAATGATTTAACAGATTTTGTAAGGTACCTGAGGGCACTACCAAACAGGGGCTATTTAAAATACATTCTTGGAGGCAGGTTGGTCCTGGAGCAGATGAGCGTAGAATATTTAGGCGAAAACGCGAGGAGGGGGTGGGATCGCGGGGCAGAAGGAGTATCTCCGCCAAGAAAATTATGCATGCGTTAGGGAAGCTCTGAGAGAATGGCTGTGGAAGCTCTCCACTGTGGTTTGAATCCACGGGGAATTGATCACCCTGCCCATGGTCAAGGTATTAAACTACAAATTGAAGGCGAAGGTGTTGAGTCTCAATCCTTTAAAAATAAAACTTTCCAGAAGGTGCTTGACCAAAAAGGAACCCCCAAGCGACTGCAGACAGAAGTCAAGACAACTAAGTCAGCCACGGTGAAGCTGTCAAAACCAGCGGCCCTGTGGACCCAGCAGGATGTCTGCAAGTAGCTGAAGAAACACTGTCCGAATCAGTATCAGATCTACAGTGAGTAATTCAAACAGCAAGACATAACTGGGCGAGCCCTGCTGAGACTTACAGACAAAAAGCTTGAGCGAATGGGGATCACCCAGGAGAACCTCCGGCAGCTCATCTTGCAACAGGTGCTCCAGCTGAAGGTGCGCGAAGTCAGAAACCTACAGTTACTCACGCAAGCCTCAGCCGAAGGTTCTCCATAAATGCAGTTAGCCTTCCAAGCTTCTGTCCTGCCAGTCAATACGAACATAGCCTGTTCCTCACAGAAAGACTAACTCATGGCACTGCCAGAAGATATCCTTAGAGCATTGACAGATTAACCAGATTAACCGGAAAACCACCCATTCAGTCAAGATTACCGGCTTTGGAAAATCTTAGTTTGCTCTGGATTTTTAAATGAGGTGCATAATATACAGTGCCAGCTTATTCCAAGTGGTCATTGGCAGAC